GATATTTCAGCATCAAATATATTGATTTGTGACAAATAATGAAGTATTATACACAAAGCACTATTTATGTTTTGATTTCTTCTATGAAATCAAATGCCCTTTTTGCTAGTCTAATTTTTTTGGATGATTGAAGCAGATATAGAAGATGGAATCTTTGGGAGATGTTCTGTATTTATATTTTACTGGGTTGCAGGCTTTGAGTTGCTTGTTGGTCGTGGCTTTATTTTTCTTTGGTGGTTGGACCATGAACCTATTTTTTTCCCTTCGGCCTTGGAGTTAATAATTGGCTTTGAGCTTTGAAAACTTCGATTTATTCCTTAGAAATTTGAGTTGTTGCTGCTTATACTGTCCAATTTTTTGGGGTTGTTTATGAAGCTATACGGGCATGGGGATTTGTGGGTCTTCAGAAAATATGTTTGATCTTGAGATGCATTTCTTGGCTGGCACTAATTGGTGGCTTGCGGATTGGGTGATTGGATGGTTAATTAATTTGGAATTTACATATAAAAATTGTATTAATTTTTATTATTGCTTCGGGTCTTTTGTGTGATAGAAAAGTACCGCTAAGATTGAAAGGAAAATTTTATAAGATGGTGGTGAGACCTGCAATGCTCTATGGCGCTGAATGTTGGCCTTTAAAAGAGAAGCATAATAATAAGTTAAGTGTTGCCGAGATGAGAATGATTAGGTGGATGAGTGGCTTTACACTTAGAGACAAAATGCGGAATGAATATATTCGTGATAGGGTTGGTGTAGCTCCTGTGACAGACAAAATTAGAGAAAGTCATCTTAAATGGTTTGGTCATATTAAACGTCGACCATTAGATGATCCGATTAGGAGAGTAGATGTTTTAAATTCGACTTGTGTTAAGAAAAGCAGAGGTAGACCTAGGAAGACTTGGGCTTATTGTATTAAAAATGATCTTAATTTACTAGAACTAAATGAAAATATGACACTAAATAGGACGCAATGGAGAAAAAGGATTCATGTTGCCGACCCCACGTAGTGGGATTAAGGCTTTGTTGTTGTTGTTGTTGTTGTTGTATTGTTAATTTGAACTTAAATTAAATTAACAATGTCTATTAACCTAGTGATGAGGAGCATATAAATTAATATTTTGAAGGATGAAAATTATAAATTTTGTTAAATCAAATTTCTTTTCTGCAATTGAAATTTTGAAATTGCAAGCTGGATGTGATTTTTTTGTAAGTTTTTTTCTTATTTCAGTTGGATTAGATAAGGGATCGACTTTAAGACCATAGCTTTTTTCCTTAGTTATGGATGCTCTTACTGGACATTTACAGGAGGATGTACCCTGGTGTATGCTTTTTGATGATGATATGATGATATCCTTCTTGACTAGAGAGACTTGTGGAAAAGACTAGAGAGAATGTTTTCGAGAAACTTGAATTATGGAGGTCTACGTTAGAGTCTAAAAGGCTTTCGTTTTAGTAGATCTAAAAATGAATACATGGAATGCAATTTTAGTAGTAGTAGATCTAATGGCGGGGGTTTTAATGGGTGATCAAATCATTAAAAAGTTTGAATGTTTTAGATATCTCGGATCTATTGTTCAAAGTGATGGTGTTATAGATGGGGTTGCTATTAGTAGAATTCAAGTTGGTTGCTCGAAGTGGAGGAATGCATCTGGCCTATTGTGTGATAGAAAAGTATCACTTAGACTGAAAGGAAAATTTTATAAGCTGGGTGTTCTGGTTGTTAGACCTACAATGCTCTATTGCGTTGAATGTTAGCCTTTAAAAGGGAAGCATAAAGTAAAGTGTTGTTGAGATGAGAATGCTTAGGTGGATGAGTGGCTTGACACTTAAGAGGCAAAATGCTAAATGAATATATCCATGATAGGGTTGGTGTAGCTCCACTGGCGGAAAATATTAGAGAGAGTCGTCTTAGATGGTTTGGTCACTTAAATGTCGACCATCTGATGATCCAGTTAAGAGAGTAGATATTTTAGATTTGACTTATGTTAAGAAAAGCAGAGGTAGACCTAAAAAGACTTGGGCATATTGTATAAAAAATGATCTTAATCTATTAGAATTAAATGAAAATATGACACTCAATAGGATGTAATTGAGAAAAGGTTTCATGTAGCTGACCCCCATTTAGTGGCATAAATGCTTCTTGTTGTTGTTTTTGTGTTACATACATACCACTCAATTCTTATGTATTTACATATCTAACACAACTTCAATTTTTACACATATGCAGCCTTACCCATGCATGAAAAGGAGTATTTCACTTAAATTAAACTAGTGGTATTTTTATGTGATATGAAAGATTTAGGTGGTATAAATGTATGCAAAAATGCAAAGTTTAGGTGTTAGATATGTAAATACATAAGAATTGAGTGGTATATATGTAAATGCCCCCTTTTTTTTCAAGTGCATTGCAAGTGTGACTATCCAATTCCGAATGAAGTCGTCTCCTTGCATTAACAGAAGGCCTGATATATTTACTTTGCTATTTCATTTCTGGCTCTATTTCATCAACATATTTTGATATTGATTTATTTAGTTCTCTCGATTTTGATCAAAAGTTTACATTTGAAATCTAATTTGTGGAAATCGAATTCAATTTGTTCATTGATTTTCTAATTCCTCTCTGAATTTTTTAGATCATTTCAATTTTTTAATTATGAACTTGGCTTTAATCCTAGTGTTGCCAATTTACGTTTAAAAAGGGTAAACTTTTTAATTCACTGGTGATTCGTCTTCTATAATTTTTTTTTTTTGAAATCATACCAAGCACTAACTAGTGGCAATATTAGGAATCCTAATTGGAAGTCATCCTTCAATTTGAGATTACGATGTGCTTGTATCAATTTTTCTTATGATCCCTATTAGTTTTGGTCGATGAACACAAGAAAATTCATTTTTTATCCAGAATCTTACAATTTTGGTTGCACTCCAGAAATTACGCAAGCTCTCACTGGCAATTGCTTTGTCTTAGATGTAAAAACGTTTTTCCTGCCAGTTTTTTTTTTCAGATGTAATACCTTTGTTAAAGCACATTGTTTAACTGTTTAATGCTTGCTCTATATTGTCTCTTCTTTTCATATTTAATGATTGAGTATATCGGTGTATTTGATTCCGCAACATTAAATATTATTTTTTTAGAGTAAAAGATTTAAATGGTATTCTGACTATTTGTAGGGGGTTTTTTCTAGTCCCTGAATACATATGTAGTGTCTGATTTTGCCTCTGAAATATAAGCAAAAATAGTCCCACCATTAGAATTGAGGGAAATTGAAGTTAAAGTTATAGATGACGTTAAAAAGAAGGGTATTTTATGAATTTGCATTTTAAAATTCGTTACAAAATCTAATTTTCTGCTTACATGTTTGGGATATGATCTATTGATATCATTTCTAATATATTTTATTTCATTTTCAAACGCTCAGTGATTAAAGTAGCATATATTAAATTTATAAACATTAGTAATTGTCATTGATAAATTTTTAATAAAATATTCCAAACTTAAAAAAAAATGACACTAATTAGATTTTGTAAAAATTTTAAGACGTATATTCTTGATAATTTTAAGATGTAAATTTATAAACATTAGTAATTGTCATTGACAATTTTTTAATAAAATATTCCAAGGTTAAAAAAAAAAGACACTAATTAGATTTTGTAAAAATTTTAAGATGTATATTCTTGAAGTATTTTCATTTTTTACATCATCCGCTAACTTCAATTTTTCTAATTGCAAACCAAATTTTGCTTCTATTTAAAGTATTTAAAGATTAATGTTCATTTTAGGATGGTTGTAGCTTTTTATAAAATTATTTGTGAAGCCATGATGAGGAAAAACAACTTCTTAGAAAGTTATGCTGTGAATTATAAATAATTATTTTGTTTAAAAGGTCAGACAACAGTTTTTTTTAAGCCTGGAATAAAAGAACTCCCACGTAAAATCAGGGAACCAAGTCAGTCATTAATCTTTTTTATTTGTTGCATGATCTTTCAAAATAGTTTGGCTTCTTATATGATACTAGATGTGGTACATTTCTCGTAGAAAGTCTATTATTCATTTATCTTTATTTGCATTTTCTTGTTTTCTATGAATTATAATACAAAATATTTATTTCTGTTGACAGCCGTTATGAATCTTTTCATATATATTGCATTGAATTGATTGGATCTTCATTAGAAATTTCATTCGTGAGCATCATATATTTTCTTACATTTTTCATTGCACATCAGTTCGAAGCATTTCATCTCAATAAAATTTTAGAGTCTTAGACCACCCAAGATTGCCTTTTATATCACGGGTTCATGTTTTGTAAGTTTACATATGCTCGAAGCTTTGACTCAATTTATAGCATCATTAACTTTAGCTTGTCCTAAATAATTCCTCAGATGTCCATTGAACCATGCTTCTTTTCAAGTGTCTTGTAATCTGTTGCTTGAGCTGTTGATTGACATATAAACTGCTTGGGTTTTCTGGAAGGATTTCAATCTCAAGTTGCTTATTTACAGGATTGGTTTGAACAACTAGAAATATTGCTTTTGAGCGGTTTTAGTTCAGCTAATATTTACATGCACCTCTCTCAAAACATTGCTTTTTACAAAACTAGCACCTATTTGATTTTTTGAATGACTGAATTGATGCATTTAAGAGTGTCATGATCCAGGGCATTGAGAATTTGATTATAATGAAAAATATAGGTTGGAGTAAAAACATAGGTTGGATTTTTATCATGAATTTTGATATTGGAGCCAGAATTTGAAAAATAGATGAAACAGGGTGCTAGATTTGTGAACAGCAATGTTTCGAGTGCGAACAGTTTGCTTTAGCTCATCTCTCTCCACCTCCCAATGCTATTCCTATCTTTTTACCCTCATCAACACCTGGATTTTTAGGCAAGTTTTTTGAAGTTTTCAAGTCAACCTAAGTTTTTGCCATTATATTGCTTCCTCTATCTATTTTAGTTGGCCAAATTTTTATTCTTTTTAATTTTTGGTGGTACTTCTCACAGATTAAGGAGGTCCGGGATTTCGCAGGCCAGGATATTGAAGTGAAGAAGCTGGTTGATGCCAACTCGAGAGAGGCTGTTGAAAAGGCCAAGAGTGGCGGTGCCCCTCCTTCGGCTCTCGACACCATTCTGGACCAGATAAAGAAGAAGCAGAAGCTTAGCGTCCTCGACAAGACCAAGAAAGACTGGGGTGAGTACAAGGAAGAGCACAGGGGGCTCGAAGATGAGCTCGATGCCTACAAGAAGAGTTCAAATCAGTATCTCGACAAGGTTTCCTTTCTACAGAGAGCAGATCTTCGAGAGTTCGAGCGTGAGAGAGATGCGAGGCTGGCCATGCAAGCGAAGAGAAAGCTAGCAGATATGAGAGAGGATAACTTCTAGCCTGGTAAGAGCTGGTTCCTGGCCAGGCCCTGCGACAACTAGGAGATGATTTTAATTAGTTGGATTGATGTATCTGTCATTTCGCAACGACTAGATCTCTTCATTGCTTGAGTTCTTGTTGTTGATGTCTCAGTTTTTAGACTTTGTATTTGGAACAATGTTGATATTTATTGTACATGCATTGTTACTTCTATTGGCAGAAGAATCTCCAATGTTGTCCATCTTTTTGCTGAATAGCTTGTAGAGGCCAGTCTTTCTTTTTTGTCATAATATGATAGGTATTAGATGATTCTTAGACAAATTGATGATTCTTAGAAGCTGAAAAATAGAAGGGGGATTTAATTTGAGAGGTATAATATATTATTTATCAATTAATCTCAAGAAAAAAACAAATTCAATGAATATGAAGCCCATCTTAGTCAAATTTAAAACAACATATAGTCCAAATCAGTTGAAATATCCTTGTCAATGAAAAGAGCATCTCTCACATCTTCGAATTTAATTGGATGGCCAATAATTTTTTTTTTTTTTAGGAAGTGAGCTCATTGTCTTTTATTGTAATATTCAATAAATTTCATAAATAATATTTCCCTCAAATAACATTATACGTTTATAAATGTAATTGTTGATAACTTTTAGTTGTCTATTTACACGTTCTAAATCCATATGAGAAAAACTTTACCTTTGTTTCTTGCTAAAAAAATGCATCTTTCAAGGAACTATGCTTGGTCAACCTTTCACCATTTACTTCTTTGATTAACATTCTAAACCCTTAAAATGAAGATGCTTGTATTGAAATCTAAAACCAAAAAGTATTTTGTGATAATCTTTCAAACATTTAGCACCAATAAGCTTGATATTTAGTTAGAAATTCAACCAATTCATTTGAGCAAGAATAAAAAAAACTTATTAATGAGGATTTGTAAGAAAATAATTTTCTCCTTCATAAGAGTTGTAATATTTCTCCAATATTTGATCCATCTTTTAGATATTATTTGTCATACTTGTCACATAATAAAAAAAAATAAAATAAACTTGTAAGTTTCATTTTTTAATTGAATAAGAATTTCACATTTACCCATCATCAATACATAGAAATAATCTCCAAAAAATTGTCTAACAAAAAATTCATCTAAAATCACAAACAAATCTTTACAGCCATACACGAGACTACTCAGCCAAATATCTAAATGTCAACAGCTTAGCTTGATTGACAGTGTCATAACCTTTTCACGTTAATAAGAAAAGGATCATCTCTTTCTCTTCTTCTTTGCACTTTGAAATCTCATTATCTTAATTAGCATGGAATGCCAATAACTTAAAGCACGAATACAAATTTAAGGTTGATCCTCTGATTTTGATAGAAATCTCTCACCTCCTGATCAGTGAATTGGGTTCTTTTATCTTTAATGAGTATTAGAGGCAAACCATACTGATAAATTATACATGTCCAGATAAAGTTTCAGACTACGTCAGCGGTAATCTGGGCGAGAGATTTTGCTTCTAACAAAATGGAAAAATATTCTTTGGCGACCAAAAGAAACTTTTGTTGCACTTTTGAAGGCGGAAACAACTCGAGGATGTCGATTCCCCAAACAACAAAGGGTCAGAGCCCTATGATCATTTGCAATTTCTACGTCAATTGATGCTCTAGTGGAGATTATTTCTGACATTGTTCGTACCTAGTAGAAATTTGTTCCGCATCCTTTCAGCGGGTCGACCAGAAATAACATTACCTCTGGAGAGGTTGAGCTAAAATCTTTCCATCTGAATGACTTCTACATTCGACCAAATCCACTTCACAGGGATCTCCCTCACCTCATTTTCCTTGACACACCTTAGAAGCAACAATGTGGTTGACCTTCGGAAGAGTGTATTTCCATTGAGGAGGCATCAAGAAACTTTAAATTTGAACCTTCGAGGATTTGTCACTTCTTCAAGGATTTTCTCCGTTTTGATGTAGTGGACATAGGGATCTACACAACTTTTCCAATCTTTGGTTTCTACCTCTATTATTTTTGTCTATAGTTGGTTGGGAAAGCCTCAAGGGCAACTTGTCTTTGGAGTATATGTTCTTTGACAAGAGGTTCACCACTTGGTTCTCTTCTCATCCTACATGATCAATTCAAAAGTTTGAGAACTTCTCTATCTCTGCTTTCACCATGTTCAAATATTTGACCATCATTTCATCTTGAGCCTCGAATTCTCCATTAACTTGATTGACGAAAAGTTTTGAATCTAATTTTACCATTAAATTTTGGATGCCCATTTCATCAGCTAGTCGTATTCCAGTTATCAACACTTTATACTTCATCTGATTGTTTGTGACCTCAAAATTGATAGTAACCAAATGATAGATATGCTTCTTGGTTAGACTGCCTGGTTTTAGCCCGATTCCTGCTCTTTGCTTGGTTAGAAGATCCATCAACATGGAGAGTCAGGTTTGTCTGTCTACTTCAGACCCATCACGCCGATTCGTTCGATTCAGAAAAGTTCGCTAGAAAATATGCTACAGCCTGAGCCTTGATTGTCATCAAGAGGATGCAGTTGATGTCATGCTCGTTGAGTTCCACTGCCCACTTTAGTAGGCGACTAAAGTTTTTGGTCATGTGAGTATAGATGTGAGTGGATGGTCATTGATCACTCTAATCGAGTGCATTTGAAAATACAGCTAGAGCCTGAAAGTAGGTTCCTGATTTCGGCTCCCCGGAGAACCCTACTGGTGTAGTAGACGTGCTTCCCTAATTCCTCTTGGACCAAAATTGAATTGATGGCTTCCAAACTGACTTCCAAATAAAGTAATTATTCTTCATTTGGTCTAGAACTTTGTATATTGATCAACAACTGCTTCATACTGACACGCACCAAGTGCTGAGAAGCACAGATGACTCACACAAGTATACACAACGTATCAGTAGTACTGGAGTTTTAGTCTGGTTGTCTATCCCTTAAGAAATGAGAAAAAACTCAATTCAGGAAAAATTCTAGTCTACGATTGTTAACCCTAGCCAGAAGATTTGAAATTTTTTGAAGTTTAATAAAAGTTCTCATCCTAATTTTTGAAAGTGAAAAAGACCTAAATTTTAAAATAGTGCAAATAAAGTATTGTTAATTAAGATATGTGCCAAAAATCTCCTTTTCAAGTGGTTGCATAAAGATCAAGCTTAGCAATTGATTCAAAAGTAGGTGTCAAATAGGAGCAAAACCTTTCTTATCTCCTTTCAGAAGTCTAAGAAAGATTGAAGATTCATTCATTTAGTTCTCAAAATCAAATGGAAAGTCCAATACAACCTCGATCTTGAATCAATTTGCATGAATTCAAAAGATAAATTTCTATTCCAATGACTTCGTCTGGATAACTTAATCGTTCCTTATTGATTCCTCCTTAAATTCTATAATCATGATCAGTTTTAAAAATTAACCAGGCAAGTTAAATGTTAATGAGTCCCTAAGTTATTCCAACGCCATTATAAAATTCACACAATAATCACTCCAAATTGCCAAGTCCTTATCCCTACACTTCAACAACAAAGGAGAACAAAAAATCTACTCACTGGGCACACCAAATTTCATCAACAACAACATTGCATTAAAAGTAGAAATCAAATATAAAAGTCCCACAATTATTTCTTTTAGAAAACAAATGCAAACTCAATATACTTATCTCCTTAAATCCAGAAATTTCAGTTGAATTACAATTACACTCACAATCCGTCAATCTCACAAACTCTCTTTGATCTTGCTTGAAAACTCATTATCTTCTTACAAGTTGGGGTGACCTTCTCCTCCAGAATTCCTCTCTCACCAATTAACAGGAGAAAAATAGTGAAAAGCCTCCCTTCAAAATTCGTCTTCAAAGCTTTTATATTTCTTCCCCTTAATCTTAAAGGCTGAACTGCTCCAACTGCAAATTCAAAATTCGGGCACCTAGACGCCCATTGGTTCGTGCCTAAGCACCATACACTTATAATTTTTTCCATAAAGAACTGGTGCTATGGCGTTGCGATCACGGTGCCTAGGCATCGATGACAGCGCTTAGGCGCCCAATAAAAACAACAACTTTTTGTCTTCTCGAGATTTTTGCTCAATTTGTAGGATTCATGCACCTAAGCGCCCAAGACCCCAGTTTTTGCTCCAATCTTCGAATTTGATTATCGTTTGTCCCCTTTCTTGCTACAACCTACAAAAGCAGCAAATAACCTTTATAAAGTGTACTATCAACATGAAAAATACAAAAAAAAAATAAAAGTAATAATCAAGTACAAACTATCAACATATCACATACTTTGGAAGGCCTGCTTGCATTTGATCGACCATTCAAACATTTTGGCTTTTCTTAAAACCTTAAAGAAAGCTGCACATTTGTCACCTAACTTAGAAATAAATTTGTTGAGAGTTGCAATTAAGTCGATCAGTTTTTGCACTTTTGTTGGTGTTTTGGGGCGGGGGGGGGGGGGGGGAGGGGGGGGGAGGGAAGATATATCAGGAGTATCTTCACTTTTTCATAATTAGCTACAATGCTCTCGGGTGTCAACAATTACCCTAAGAACTTTTCGGTTGAAGCTTTAGATGTGCATTTTAATAAGTTTAATTTCATGTTAGACTTTCTGAGAGTTTGAAAAGTATATTTTAAATAGTTTATGTGATGTTCGGTTGACCTACTTTTTACTATAATACCGTCAACATATACTTCAGTATTTCTTCTTTTTTACTTAGAAAAAAATACATCCATGAGACACTGATAAGTTGCGCTAGAATTTTTCAGCCCAAAGGACATTACAACAAAACAAAACAAATCTTCACTAGTAATAAAAGTTATCTTCTCATCATCAACCGAATAAATCTTAATCTGGTGGTAGCCAGAGAATGCATCTAGAAAGCTCATGACCGAGTATTTTATAGTAGATTTTGTCAACGTCATCCTTGGAGCAAGGAGCGTTGAAATTTGTGAAGTCCTCTCACATCCTCCACTTGATGTTGGACTTTTGCACCCCGACTGCATCGGATACCCAAGAGGGGTATTACACCTCTTTGTTGTATGCCACCTCTAAGAGCTTCTGTACTTCCTCACGAATTGGTCCAACCAAAGTTGTTGCTGTCGATCAAAGTTTCTTCTTCATGCACCACACATATGGACTTACATTGAGGCGGTGATAAGCCACGTTAATGGGAATTCTTGACATTTCAACTATTGAGTGAGTGAAA